GACAGTACCCTCTTTTATGCAGAAAAGGACATGGTATATTGCACTTCCGTGTTTCAGATGGTTTTGGGTGTTTAAAGTCGCATCGGTCGCCTTTAAAATATCTACCACGGCGTATGAGAAAAGGGCACGGAACAGAGGTTTTTAGAGACGGATTGTATTTGGGTTTTTCCCTTTCGCTGTTAATTGACTGCTGCGATACCGATTTCAAGTTCGAATTTAAGCCTTTGTGTGTATTATTTTTATTCTCAATGATGGCGTAATTGCTTCTGTACAAAGTCTTGTCTTCTGTGATATTTACCCATGAGCATGGCACCATGAAAACAGGCGAGTTTACTGCAATGGCTGTCGGATACTAGGAACGAACAGTGTTGATTTTGTTAAGCGAAGCACATTTTTTGTGAGACTTGTGAGAGCGAAGTGAGATTTTATAGCGAAGCGATTTCTATTATTAAATATAACTTTTAAACTTTAATTTGTGAGTGATTTTAAGCGAAGTGACGTATTATTTGTTGGGAATCAGTTTTGGAGGCAAATCTTTCCTAACATGGCAACGAAATTCAAGTCAGCGTTTTAAGGCGGGCGCACACTAGAGCTATGTGCTTAGCAAAATGTCATTCGTGACTGTTGGCGTAAGGAGATAGCTCTCGTGTGCGGGCGATTTGCGAACGACTTTTGTCATTCGTGCCACTTACGCCAAATATCTAACATGTTTGATAATTTCTGCCTCGCGTGCCAAAATCTTTCCGTGTGCGGCGAACGAAAGCTATCTGCTTACGGATTGTCGTAACAGCGCATGCGTAGTATACGAAAGTAAACATCCAAGATGGCGGCGCAAAATGAATTGCTGGCCGAGGCAATTTTAGAGGACAAAGTTACTGGCTATTTCTTTCACCGCACATTCCCTTTTGTCCCTATTTCTAAAATCTGCAGAACTCACATCGTATAAACATTTATATTTAGGCCAAAGTTCGACAAGTTTGTCCTCTAAAATTGCCTCGGCCAGCAATTCATTTTGCGCCGCCATCTTGGATGTTTACTTTCGTATACTACGCACGCGCTGTTACGACAATCCGTAAGCAGATAGCTTTCGTTCGCCGCACACGGAAAGATTTTGGCACGCGAGGCAGAAATTATCAAACATGTTAGATATTTGGCGTAAGTGGCACGAATGACAAAAGTCGTTCGTAAATCGCCCGCAAACGAGAGCTATCTCCTTACGCCAACAGTCACGAATGACATTTTGCTAAGCACATAGCTCTAGTGTGCGCCGGCCTTTAGGCAGAAAGAGCATGTAAAACTGTAAAATAAGTTCACTGGACAACTCTACTAGCATATCTTTGTTCGATCTCGAGATATGTAAATTAAATAAATCTATGGCATTATTAGTATTGTCTGGTACTGATATATATAGAGGATACTACACGGCGCGCGAAGATATGACTTTTATATTCGAGTGGGGAAAACAATATTTTACGAACGAGCGCAGCCAGTGAGTAAAATATTCTTTTTAACACGAGAAGATAAAAGTCATATCTTCAAGCCACCATGTAATGTTCTGTTTAATATATAGTCCCAAGCAAAAAATGTATAAATACTAAAAGTCACGTGATCGATATCTTCACTACTGAAGGTATGGAAAATATCTCACTGTGTATTTTTCAGTATCTCACTCTTTACTATATATAATAAACTAGTATAACATAACATAGCATAACATAACATAACATAACGTAACGTAACGTAACGTAACGTAACGTAACATAACATAACATAACATAACATAACATATTTATTATCACTCAATATAGTCATTACAGATCAAAATTAAAAATAATCATTTGTTACATTGGAAAGAGTGAAGGTCATCTGAAATAACAATATGGGCTAGACGAGTCAGATGACCTTTAACATTGTAAATATATATTTTAATCATGACAAAATGTTAGAAGATAGCTTAGAAATAATATGGTTCAGAGTATCAGATTTGACTACACAGACAATAAAGAAGTCACACAAAGACAATTTACAACAGACTACAGACAACAATACCGTAAGCCAACACCAATGAAATTTTAAAACTACTTTGGTTGCAAACAGGTTTGAATGTTTAGAATAAAATAAAATACATATTTTAACTAGTACAAACCAATCAATTGTTCTTTGAATTTCTTTTTAAAGGAGTATTTACTTAATAGTTTAAGAGATTCATCTAAGGAATTCCAAATCTTAGGTCCACTAAAAGTGATATTAAATATTCCATAGTTTGTCCGTTTGTACTATGGGTAAACTGTAGTTAAAAGAAGATGCTAAGCGTGTTTCATACAAATGCTTACTATTGATTGAGGTAAAAAGGCCATCAAAGTCAGGTGGGAGGCAATCTTGACTATACTGAAGCATAAATATCGCAGTATATAGATTAACAATGTCAACAAATTTAAGTAAGTTAAGCTCTTTAAAAAGAAGAGAAGTATGCGCCCGATAGTCCGAGAAGGTAAAGATTCGTATAGCTTTCTTTTGAAGTATTGTCAAGGGAAGTGTATTTGTTTTATAGGTGTTCCCCCAAACCACGACAGCATACGTAAGGAATGAATAGATAATTGAATAGTACACTTATGAATAGAGATAAATTTTCTAAGTTTCAATAAGATGCCAATTCCTCTCGAAATTTTTTTAGAAAGTTCATAGACATGATCTTTCCAGTTAAGGTGACAATTCATCAGAACTCCTAAATATTTTATACTCTTCTTTTGTTTAATCTCTTTACCACAAATGTTAAGTTTCTTTGGAAACTTAGCTTTTCTTTGGGGTGGATGAAAAAGAACAAAATTGGATTTTTCGTGAAATTTTGGCCACGGATGGAAGACTTGTATAGTCACAACGATTGGTAAAGACTAAACGTCGATTCGATCCGTACCATTGGTAACGGATGGATTGGGAATTCACGATCGGAAAATATGAAATATCGATCCGTGAATCTACTGCTCAAGAGTTCGAGTGTCTAAGGGAGGCCTCAAAAATGTTGTCGATCCGTATCGTTGGTAACAGATAGACTGGGAATTCACGATCGGAAAATATGAATTGTCGATCCGTGAATCTAGTGCTCAAGCGTTCGAGTGTCAAAGGGAGGCCTCAAAAATGTTGTCGATGGGAATTCACGATCGGAAAATATGAATTGTCGATCCGTGAATCTAGTGCTCAAGCGTTCGAGTGTCTAAGGGAGGCATCAAAAATGTTGTCGATTCATACCATTGGTATCGGATGGACTGGGAATTCACAATCGGAAAATATGAATTGTCGATCCGTGAATCTAGTGCTCAAGCGTTCGAGTGTCAAAGGGAGGCCTCAAAAATGTTGTCGATGGGAATTCACGATCGGAAAATATGAATTGTCGATCCGTGAATCTAGTGCTCAAGCGTTCGAGTGTCTAAGGGAGGCATCAAAAATGTTGTCGATTCATACCATTGGTATCGGATGGACTGGGAATTCACAATCGGAAAATATGAATTGTCGATCCGTGAATCTAGTGCTCAAGCGTTCGAGTGTCAAAGGGAGGCCTCAAAAATGTTGTCGATGGGAATTCACGATCGGAAAATATGAATTGTCGATCCGTGAATCTAGTGCTCAAGCGTTCGAGTGTCTAAGGGAGGCATCAAAAATGTTGTCGATCCATACCATTGGTATCGGATGGACTGGGAATTCACAATCGGAAAATATGAATTGTCGATCCGTGAATCTAATGCTCAAGCGTTCGAGTGTCAAAGGGAGGCCTCAAAAATGTTGTCGATGGGAATTCACGATCGGAAAATATGAATTGTCGATCCGTGAATCTAGTGCTCAAGCGTTCGAGTGTCTAAGGCAGGCCTCAAAAATGTTGTCGATCCGTACCATTAGTATCGGATGCACTGGGAATTCACGATCGGAAAATATGAATTGTCGGTCCGTGAATCTAGTGCTCAAGCGTTCGAGTGTCTAAGGGAGGCCTCAAAAATGTTGTCGATCCGTACCAGTGGTATCGGATGGACTGGGAATTCACGATCGGAAAATATGAATTGTCAATCCGTGAATCTAGTGCTCAAGCTTTCGAGTGTCTAAGGGAGGCCTCAAAAATGTTGTCGATCCGTACCATTGGTATCGGATGGACTGGGAATTCACGATCGGAAAATGCGAATTGTCGATCCGTGAATCTAGTGCTCAAGCGTTCGAGTGGCTAAGGGAGGCCTCAAAAATGTTGTCGATTCGTACCAGTGGTATCGAATGGACTGGGAATTCACGATCGGAAAATGCGAATTGTCGATCCGTGAATCTAGTGCTCAAGCGTTCGAGTGGCTAAGGGAGGCCTCAAAAATGTTGTCGATCCGTACCAGTGGTATCGGATGGACTGGGAATTCACGATCGGAAAATATGAATTGTCAATCCGTGAATCTAGTGCTCAAGCTTTCGAGTGTCTAAGGGAGGCCTCAAAAATGTTGTCGATCCGTACCATTGGTATCGGATGGACTGGGAATTCACGATCGGAAAATGCGAATTGTCGATCCGTGAATCTAGTGCTCAAGCGTTCGAGTGGCTAAGGGAGGCCTCAAAAATGTTGTCGATCCGTACCAGTGGTATCGAATGGACTGGGAATTCACGATCGGAAAATGTGAATTGTCGATCCGTGAATCTAGTGCTCAAGCGTTCGAGTGTCTAAGGGAGGCCTCAAAAATGTTGTCGATCCATACCATTGGTATCGGATGGACTGGGAATTCACAATCGGAAAATATGAATTGTTGATCCGTGAATCTAGTGCTCAAGCGCGTTCGAGTGGCTAAGGGAGGCCTCAAAAATGTTGTCGATCCGTACCAGTGGTATCGACTTGACTGGGAACTCGCGATCGGAAAATGTGAATTGTCGATCCGTGAATCTCCTGCTCAAGTGTTCGAGTGTCTAAGGGAGGCATCAAAAATGTTGTCGATCCGTACCATTCATGGTAAAGGAAGGACTGGGAATTCACGATCAGAAAATATGAATTGTCTATCCGTGAATCTAGTGCTCAAGCGTTCGAGTGGTTAAGGGAGGCCTCAAGAATGTTGTCGATCCGTACCAGTGGTAACGGTAGGACTGGGAATTCACGATCGGAAAATATGAATTGTCGATCCGTGAATCTAGTGCTCAAGCGTTCTAGTGTTTAAGGCATGCTTCAAGAATGTTGTCGATCCGTACCAGTGGTATCGGATGGACTGGGAATTGACGATCGGAAAATATGAATTGTCGATCCGTGAATCTAGTGCTCAAGCGTTCGAGTGTCTAAGGGAGGCCTCAAAAATGTGGTCGATCCGTACCAGTGGTAACGGATGGACTGGGAATTCACGATCGGAAAATGTAAATTGTCTATCCGTGAATCTAGTGCTCAAGCGTTCGAGTGGCTAAGGGAGGCCTCAAAAATGTTGTCGATCCGTACGAAAAAAGCTTGAGTTCTTTCCTTGGTTTAAGACCAGAATTTAAAGTAGGTGAATGATATTTAATATGAAGTGCTTCAAGCAACAAGAGGAAATTAGGTGACATGCGAGAGTTAATTAGGCTGCCCTCCAGTGTTGCGTTTTTCCTACGCAGGAACAGGCACGTTAAACTTTAAATCGGTTTAAATGTTACTTATTAAATAACCAAATAAATAGAGCGTGTGTATGTATATATAATACGCAGCTTTTTGTAAGTTAATATTCCTTTATATTCCTTGGCTTTTCAGAACGGGAGCGAATCGTCATGTTTATAGTGTTTAAACACGCGCGGCTTTATATAATAAAAGTCAATCTTCGGCTTTACTTAAGGCTTAATTAAAGCCGTTAATCATTTTGATTCATTTTAGCCTAATAGCAGTTTCCCTGCATGGCTTTTGAGAACGTAACAAGTGTTTGTATATATAATACACAGCTTTATCTTGCATAGCTTTTCAGAACAAAGCCGATGGAATTGTATGTATACATAAATAATTGCAGAGACACGCAGAAAAAATAATCCTCAAAACCGTTGTTCAACAAAATAAAGCGACTGCCAACCACTGTGCTGCTGTACGCAGGCTATGACAGGCGCCAGTTTCTTAAGAACGAAGCAGCGACATGTTATATTGATATAT